TCAAAAAGTATTTGAGGCATCAAACTCAATTTAGCACAGATTTATAGAGAATTTGATGCTCTTTTTAAAAGTGTATGAGTTATTTTGATTTGTTCAAATTGTAATGGAAATATTGGCAATTTTTCTTAACCTTGTGATGATTCAAAAAAAATTCAGGACCAAAAAAATTAAATTTTCTTTTTAATTTTTTTTCTCTTCAAATTGGTAATTTGGAATGTTGTTAAGGTTTTTTTTCAACTAATTTAGATTGGGAAAGTCAAAATTCGAGAAAGATAAAAAATTAAAATTTAGTTTCTTAAAAGGGTACCCCTTCAGATTTTTATATCAAAATCTTTAAGTTTCAATCTCTCGAAATCCGTGAGATTTATAAAATCAAAATAAATAATACCGATTCAATTATTATTATGTATTAAGTAATTAGATACCATAAAATAATAAGTTTGACAAAGACAAATTTATGAAGAAAACAATAAAAGAATGTGTTTGACAAGCAAAAACTAACAAAGAACAAAGAACTAGATAAAAAATCCAGAGCCGTATTTAAAAAAATGAAGTTGATAATCGATGGTGTCCCAAAGACGAAACGTCGGATTTCAAATTTGATAATGCCATTATACAGTGTCATTACTTAAGTCTGCAACATATGAGTTTTTTTTTAGTAGCACAATCAAAATACAAACAAGGCCAAAAGTTGGTGCATGTTTGATAATCATATTAGGTGCACTTAGAATGGTTGCAAGTCAAACATCATACAGGGTGGCTCAAAAAATATCAAAATTCTACTAATATTTACTTAAATAAAATAAAACTTTTGCACTTTAAGGAGAGTTTTTTTTAATATGGCTATTATCATTAGTAATGTTTTAACTTGTTAAAAAAAAAATTGGGACATTTTAAAGTTGTGTTAAATATCATTGCAACAAACATGAATTTTGTGATTCCATAAAAAATTAAAAATCCAAGTTAATTTTACAAATATGCTTGAATTTGAACAGAGTTATGTAAAATTGATTTGATTTTAATTAATTTTTCAAAGTATTAAAGGGCGGAAATAAAAAATAAAAAAAAATATAGAAATTATAGATTTTTTTCGAAAGAAAATAAAAAAATCTTAGGAGGCTATGTTCTGGTATTTAGACATAACTTTTAATTCCAAACAACTTTTCTCTATAACACTTTGCTGAATTTTCTAAAATAATGGTACTCTACAGTACAGCTTTGATATTGTTTGAGCTACCCTGTATGCTGTTTGACTTGCAACCATTCTAAGTGCACTTAATATGATTATCAGACATGCACCAACTTTTGGGCTTGTTTGTATTTGGGTTGTGCTATTACTAAAAAAAATCCCCATACATTGCACACTTAAAAAATCACACTGTATAGAGGAGCAAAACTGGCGATGATGAAATGAAATGTCATTTATTTTGAAGTATCTCTCTCTAGTTTTAATTACCGAGATCCCCATACTTACTCGCGAATTTCTAACACCCTGTATAGAAAAATATTCACAAAGTAGGTAACTGAACAGTGATCTTGCTAAAAACACTATCATGGCACAAACTCAATACATATATCCTATTCAGAATCCGTAGTCCAAAGGTAAAGGTAAATTTATCACCTTTCCCCTTTCCCTATCAAATAGCACTGAAAGTTGATACATTTTACCTTTACCTTTCGACATCGGATTGTAAATAGATAATATGTATATTGATTTTTTTGACAGCTAATTGAGTTGCTTGATCATAATGCTATTGAAAAGTATGCACTTTTAACTAAGTAAAAAATTACTCAAATTTTTACAGGTTTTTCCACCAATGCCATTATTAATTTTCCTTGGTATTGTAAATACCAACATTTCATAAGAACGCATTTATATTTTTAAATCTATCTATTTAAACTCCTAACTCCTAAAATAACTTTTCCGCAGTTATTGGAAAAATAAATAAATAGGTACTTCACTCTCAATATTATCATATTTTTAGCCAGACGAATAGTAACATAAAGCCATAGGTTAGTACAAAAAACAATACCCAAAGCACTCATTATGACCTAACGATTTTTTCGTAATTAGGTTAACCGAACAAAAAAGAACCATACAAACACATACGTGACAACATACATTTTCATCAACTTAATTAGTTTTTCGCAATAATTTACTTTGCATGACATTAATATTTACTTTTCCTTTCGTTTAGTAAATACGGTCAAGTTGTTATTCAAATTTCTTGAGAACTTTAAAAAATGACCACAAACTGGCTTGCTCGTTAACGCGATTAATTTGCAATAAAATTAGTTGCTTAAAAGCGAAACGATTGTTGACAATAAAAGGAGCTTTGACTTCTGTATCCAAAAAAAATCCATTTCCGTTACCGCTGATAATAACAATAGGGAGATTTCAACAAGTTGGCTGCCCCATATGAGTCATATATGATTCAAAATATGTTTTTGCAGCAAGTTTATGAGACATATTATGCCATTCATCTGCATATTTAGACGGTTACATTATGTAGTGTTGGAATTATTTGCGAACTAGGTATACACAAAACAAAAAAGCTAGTCGGACTTATGGGGTCGAAAAAGCTGGCAATTATGATTATCTTCATTGATTGACCAGAGACTTATCTGAGTTCATTATTATTAGAACAAAAATGAGTCCAAAGGTCTTCATTCTCACATTTTTTAATTTTTTAGAGCAAGTAGTTCCAGGATGCAAAATCTTTTCATCTTATTTATGAGACTTTCTGAAAATTATGAATTTTTCTAAGCCATGGAACGATGAATTATTGATTACGTTCTTACTTAGAAGTGTTCAAGTTCAAGAAAAAGTTACATACAGTGTCTCGACCTCGACAGGTGTTAACCCGCTAGATATACCTAGCAGCATAGAAATTAAATTTCTGACATCTTGACAGGGGTTAACAAAGTGACGTTTTTTTGACGTTTGGAGAAAAAAATATAAATAACTAATGTCACTTTATTTTTATTGTAAAATATTTCATTTCCTACTGGAGCCTGAGTCTGAGACTTTTATTTCTCGAACTTAGTACTATAATGAGCTTTTTTCCAGTCAAGTTTATTAAATAGGTAAGCACAAAAAAAGCGTAAAAGTGCTTTAAACTATAAAGAAATACACAACTTTTCAAAACTGCAAGGCAAAGAGCCAACTCCATGTTTCCACGAACAGCAACACAATGTTTATGTGTGCGTCTCATTGTGTAGAAATGTCTTTCACATCATAAAATAACAGAACATTAGAATATCCAGCAACATATAAATATGCATCTCATTCAAAACTAGTTGAAAAAGAGGAAAGCCTAAATCTTTGGAACTAAAAAAAAAGGACACAATAAGGATAGTCTGTCTCTCTGATAAATATAAGTTTAGATTTCAAAGTTGAACGCAGGTTATTGAATACTTTTTTTCGACTAAAGCTTATTCCATACTTAATTTATAACAATTACTATTAATCCCACTCAAGTGTCTATGTCTATATAAACCACTGCCTACACGAAACCATTTTTTTGCATTCTGTAAAATTTTTAAATATTTAAAATATCATCCGGCCCGAAAAGCCTAAAGCACATAAACAAAAGTTTTCTATGTATACAATGCCATGGGGAGTTGATAGGATATGAAGAGGTTGATGAACCCCGCATTTTTTTTTAATTTAGTTTAAATTAAATTAAATCTGTTTCTGTTATCATTAAATAGGAAGTAAATTGACCTTATAAGTCAGGAAATGGGTCATAGAGCGACAATTGTTTAGTGCCGATAAAAGTGTCTGTCTTTTGTCCTGTGAGACTCAATAAAGATTTTATTTCTTGTTGGGCTTAAAATAGTAAATTTTCTTAAAAATAATAAATGTGCTCTTTTCGTTTAAGTGATTATATAAATCAGTATTCCGACGCCTTACAGTTGTAAATTTGCATAAAAAACTAATTAGAGTCCCACGTTTGTCATCGGAACCGTAATTGTAACCAAAATATCGCCGAAAGTAGAAAGAACGGAAATTGGATATGTTTCATCGTATGTGACTGTGACATCAAAAACGTGAATGTAAATTTTTTTGGGCGGCATGATAAGTAAAGAGAATATTACTTGTACCTGGCTCTATCCAAAGTTATTAAACTTTTTTTCTGAAAAAAAAAACCTCATATTTATCATCAAATTTACTTTTGGATTATTTCGAAATAGAGTTGAACTCTCTTCTGAAGTGTTCTGGATAGTAGCAGACATTTCAATAGATGATCTTTTTTACATCTAATAAAATTGTGATTGGTTTATTGGTTAATAAACTCATTCCTGTATGATTTATTATTACGGAAGTTATCACTTGGTCTTAATTTGTTCTATTCTCTAATACATGAGCATTTCAAACCATCAGTTACATATTTTAAACGTTAATTAATAGGAAACTAATTCACCTTAAAAACTGTCCCAGAAAAAAACGCAGGTACCTAAATCTTTTTCAAGGTTTAAGAAAAAAGATCAAGGCTAAAGTCATGGTAAAAATAGGTTGGCTCGTTAACTAAAGAAAAGTTTTTATTGTTTTTGACTAATTGCAGTTCCTAATGGATTTTTCATAACATGTAATTTTATGATTAAATACATAATCATATGTATAATTAAATTCAGGTCTTCTATGCATTATCAATGCAAAATCTGACATTATAATTAATCAACCATTGAACAAATAAATTATTACAAATTCTAAAAGAAAAAAGGCAATACGACCTTGCTCTTTAAACCCAATCGGATCAAAGAGGTGTAATAAAATACACAAGGTTGACCATAATACTATAAGTAGCAGTTGTAATAAATAAACACGAACTTAAAGGAGGATAGTATTCCACTTTCATTTTTTTCTTGGGTTGCAAAATACAAGAAACGCATTGTGCACATCTAATTGACTTAAATGATGTCGTTAAGCAACAACTGATGGCTCTTTTGAGTCATCAGATAGTTTAGAAATTTCTGATTACCATTTTTTGTTTTAGATATACTAACTTCCGAAGCTATCCAATGCTACAGATGCGTCGTAGCGCCTTACGTATATTTCTCAAATGGCACTCTCCTTTGTCAGGATTTTGATTATTCAAATAGATTTATTGTGGATTGTCCTTATTCCACTTTCTGTGTGAAAATCAATACTTATGCCACATTAAATGACAGTAAGAAATCCAAGACTGAGAAATGTAGGCACTGACTCATTTTATTTTAACAATATTCGTGACACAGTAATTGCAAGCATTAATTTATTCCAAAATTCATAATAATTAATTAGGGAGCCGCTTTATATGGACAATTACCTGGATGACCATAAACAAACCAATGAGTCAAGGCCTAGTATTTTCATTGCACTAATATAGACAAAATATTCAATAGAAATTGTTTTTAGTTCAAATCAATGGCACTGAAAGGGACTGTGCGGCTCAAAAATTGGACACTCAACAATTAAAAAACGGCAAATGGCATCCTGAAACTTTAGTAATGGAACCGTACGATGAAGCCTGCAAACTGAATCAAGATAAAGGGCTTAGGACTGCTATAGTGGAACATTGTTATTGTAGAGGCGAATTGTGTAATGCCGGAAACAGAGTAATTTCTATGAAGCTTTTCTTGAGCGTAATGGGGACTCTAATGACGCATTTAGTTGCGAAATTTGTATTGTGATTGTTCTATTCAAATATTCCCAGTGATTTTGTGATTATATACCTACTTTATCAAATCTATTATTGTAAATAAGATATTTATACATATGGAAATGTAAATATGTATTTTAGTTAAATGAATGTGCCATATTTCTTCTATTTAATTTTTTTACTTCGTTCACTGCCTTAGATCTGTGAATAAAATTATTACTGCTGCAGTATCTATTATTTGTGGTAAAATATGCCTTTTCCACTGAAAATAACCCACAGTTTAGGCTACTCACTAGATCAGAAAAATGAGAGCTTGAATTATAACATAACCCAATAAACCATACATAGTATACTTTGTTTACCTCTCAATTTTGAGCAATTTGCTCGAGATAAGAGAAAAACTATTTCGATAATCAAAATTCTATATACTTGAACTTATTTGATTTAAGGATTCTCAATTTTTCATCGACTTTACGCTTGACACTTTAGTGTTTATTTATTTTATAATGAATGATAGTGATAAATCCAAAATTTCCATTTGGCAAAAAAATATAAGTCCTTTACCTCAGATTGACTCAAATGCATCAATAGCTTCAAAGTTATATCACCAAAGAACATCGTATGGCAAAAATGGTGCGAAGTCAGCAATCTGAAAATCCAGTTTTGGTATCATTTAACAACAAAGAGTGTTAGAAAAACGTTAAGCTCATTGAGCGACTAAATCGGATGAATGTGCTCTATTGAGAATTAGCAAGAAATATTTTTTAATGAGGACTTGCATCAGGAAGGGTGCCTCCCGAAAATGCAAAAAAGGCTTATAGGCACCAGTTTGGAAGACAGTATTGATCAGAGACAAAACATAAATCGATATTAGAGAAATGAAGCATAATTGAACACATTAACTGGGGTTGATAACTAGACATTTTACTCAAAAAATAAACATTCTATTTGCTATTACAAAGAGCGGTTTTTTAACATTTGTGCAACATTTGCAAGTTGGGTGGAAAGAAGAATAAAGTGTGTTCCTTTGTTGGAAGTTTGACTTACAGATTAGGGAACTTGACCATTTCTTATTTTTTAGTTTTTGAATTGATTTTGTCAAAACGCTTGGAACTGATCTGTGCAAACAAAATTTGAATATCTTAATATCTTCAAAATTAACAAAGTCTAATACTATGTGACGTCATTCCGTTGTATCGCCATAAGCCAATGCGAGTGAGACAGAGACGGCAACATTATTTTTTTATATTCATAAAGATTGTATTTTTGAATAGATTTATTTATTTTATTTTATTTTATTTGATTAAATCTAATAATTGTTATTTCATCAAAGTTCCCTATTGTGAGAATGGATGTCAGATGTGTCCGATTTGATTACCCAGCTGGAGCAAAACATACAGTGATCAGTATGGAGCGAGGTATGGAGTCTACAGATATAAATGTTAGTATGTCAACAATAATTTGGAATAATCAATCTCTTGTAGATAGTTTTCTGGTAGATTTTGATGATTCAGGAATACCTACAATAGGGGGACAACCCAATCAGTGAACATAAATTGCAAATCAATATTCAGTGCTCTGTACTTATGGTACAGCCGGGTCATTGGAAGTGAAGTCAAAAACCCAGAAGGAAATATAGGGATAAATTTCAAAATGCAGCAGAGGAAATAAAGAGAAACAGAATAACCTGAAAAGATGTCCGAGCGTTTTGCTGAAGTTTTTATGAATGTTGGTGAGGGCTTGGCGATGATACCAAATTTTCCGCAGCGGTATAGGTACCGGGTTCGTTTCACTTCAACCCTGTATCAAGAATTCAGGAGAAGTTTGAACAAATTCGTCATTTTAGTACTGGTATCGAGCAAATCTTTATATTGCAAATTTCAGAGGTATATCCAGGTCTAAATACAAGCAATGGTAATCTTAATGGTACCTATTTTAACATCTAACCAAACTGAATTAACTGTGGGTTGTTTATTTGATTTCTCTGTCCATCCAATTCAATAAAACTGTCTGTTAAAGATTGATGCAACCATGTTTCTGTAATCAGAATAAAGGTGGGCGGAGAAGCAAGGTTAGAAATGCCTATTTTAAATTCACCTATCTTATTTGCAAGAGAACAAAGAATACATTAAGGAAACCTCACACACCTCCTCAAACCTTAGTTTCCTGGATGTCTGTCAGTTACAATAGTCGGTATACCTCTTATAGATTTTATGATTAGATTTTCCTGTCTTCACTCTTCTTTTTCTCTAATTTTCCGATAACGCCTTGAATAGCTTCTCTGCAAGAATGTCTCGTTACTTTTTATTGCCGTTTATGTACACTGCGTGTCTTTTTATAATGAGTTTCTTCCCGAGTTTCTTTTGTTTGGATTTTGCTTATTATGTATCAAGGGTGTCCAAATTTGGATGGTTTTAATAGGAAACGTCAATTTCTAAGCGAAATACAAAAAAATTAACTCCCCATTTCCGAGGCTCAAATTTCATAAAATCTTGATTGGTGCAAACCGCATTTTGATATCTTCAACCATTTAGCCGCTAGGGGGCATTTCTCGATTTTGAGCAATACTGTGAAACCTTCATAACTTTTTTGTTTATGAAAATATAAAATAAAAGTCCAATCAAGAATTCATGAAATTTGAGCCTCAGAGTGGGGGATTCATTTTTTTGTATCTCGCGCAAAAATTGACGTTTCCTATTAAAACCATCCAAATTTGGACACCCTGTACATTCCGATTTAGTCTTCCATTGCTTTTCTGTTCTTCAGAGCTCTTGCAAAGCTTCTTATTTTGAATATAAAATTACTATGATTTTTTGATCTTTATCTGTTGTATAATGCCAATGTCTATAATGATGTGTCAGGTAGGATTTGCTTCATTTTGGTGAACAAAGAAATTACTCTTTCACTGTTATATTCTTTCCTTTCTACACCTTCATTGTTTCTGGATTCCTCCACTCCAAACGTTATTATATTGGTATATCATCTCTTTCCTATAATTCAATTAGTGTAGGTTCTAAAGCTGGCCTCTCTTCTATACTTACTTTCAACGTTGTCAACTTTTTGTTCCAAATCTTTCAGCGTAGCTCGGTGCAGGCAGTTTTTTAGAAATACTTGCTTCTTGGCTTTTGATACCATCCGATCTTCTTTCATATCGCCTATAGATTTTTGTTTTATAGTGTTTCACTTTCATTTTCACATAGGCTGTTCATTTGCACTTGCTCTGCCTGCTCGACGTATCAGGAAGATCTGCTAGGAGCAGCTATTTATGAGTTTATATATGGGACAAGTGAACACCGATCTGTTGCCTGCAGTACAAATGAACACTCTATCAATCTTGAAGACGCCTCTGTACTTTTACCTTGAAGGAGTCCATGTCGTTTTTAAATTTTGCATAATTTCAAACTGCTGAACTTCAACGCTTTGAGATCATCTGGGTAGATTAAGACATTCCTTGAACTTGGGAAGTTCCACATCGGATATTCTCTGCTTGCAGTATCAAGCGACCCTTAGAGCAGTTTGAGCAGAATTTTTTTTTTACAGAAATCGCATGGAGAACCCAAGAGTTTCACTTTTTCCTCTCTTGTTTGGCAAATCTCATTTTTTTATTAAGATTATTAATATTACTTAACAATAGTGAGCGGTCAGAATAAACCGATGAGACTATTATAACTAATTTTAGTCTGGAGCTACATCTTAACATTATCTTCATGTATTGAGTCGGTTACTATCTTAGCACTGTTAAAATGCCTATTTATAGGCCATATATTAATTGTTTTAGTGCACAAATATCCTGTCCATCCAGCCATTTTACTGTCCAGTCCTTTTTTTAAACAGGTTGACTAAAGATGCATATTCAGTGTCCCAACTGAGTCGATTCCAATTATTAACTACTCAATCGAACAAAAAATAGCTATGCAAAAGCCTGGCACATCTCTCCTTCCAGGGTTTCTTGTTATGACCCTGTAGATGCTGGCTGTCACTGCACTCACACACTTAACTGGCACTTGTAGTGTCCACTAATTATTTTGAAAGTCTTCACTGGATCCCCACACGGTTGTAGGGAGGTTCAACCTCTGCAGCCTTTTTTTATATGGAAAGTCACAAAGAGCTGCCGGAATTTTTGTTGTTCTGTGTTGGACTTTTACAAGTGCATCAATGTCATTGACATAACAAGGACTCCATATGATTTGAGCATACTCCAGCCTGGGTCTCATGTAAGCCTTGTACAGCTTTAAAAACATTTGGGGTGTAGAATCTTTAAAAACTGGACCTTCAGGAAGGAATCCGTGTTGGGAAGGTGGAATAATTCCATTTCTGAGCAAAAATTCAGTCATCTCAGATACCAGGACTTTCTCCAGGCATTTACAGAGGGTTCATGTTAAGCTAATGAGCCTATAGTTTTTGCTCGAGTTTTTGGGCACGTGTTTGTTGCCTTTCTTGTGAATAGGCACTACCCTTAAACCCTTGGTGGTTTGCCCTGCCTAAGAAGATTGTTCATCATGACTCAGAGGGCATGTGATAGAACTGCTGCACACTTGTTTAGGAAAATGGCAGGAATTTTATCCTCTCCTGGCCTAAAATTTGGCCTCAGTGATATGAGTGCAGTCTCCTATTTCTCAGGTGGAAAAGTTACAATTTCAAGTGAATTAGCACAGATTGTATCAGAATCCAAGTTGGGCATATGTCTTAGATCTTCTCTTGCAAAAACAATCTGAAACCGTTTGGCAAACAAATTATCAAGTTTTTGCTCATCATTTAGTGGTAACATCCCTAAGCGAGACACGTATAAGTCTTCAACCAAGAGATCTCTTTATGTGGGAATATAACTGTTTTTCAAAAGAGGCTAGCAACTCTTTTATAGTGCAATTTGTGAAAGTTGTATTGACATATTGACCTATTGTTTTTTTCTCCAAACAAGATACTGGTTTAGTTGTTGTTTATGTTAAAGTTTGGATAGATTGTTTATTTTAGACCTGAGACAAGCCCCCCAAAAAAATATATAATTATAATTCAAACAATATCCGCAAATTTTAACCAAAACTTTGGTGATTTATATTATTACCAACAGGTGAATATTGAATTGTCAAATATCTTGTGGAACTACAAAACGGATCTCAATGATATAAATGCTAAGTATCTTCATTTTTATAATAATATATTGGGTGTTTTTGAGGGTGTTATGAACAAAGTTGCTCCAAAAACTGATAACGTCATTAAACAGAACTATAGAGAATGGTATAACGATAGAGTAAAAAATGCCATCACAAAGAGGGATAATAGTTATAAAACGATGAAATCAAATAAAACGGTAGAAAATAGAGAATATTATAAAGAATATAGAAATGCAGTAGTAAGAATCATAAGGAAAGAAGAGAAGTTAATAAAACTTATCACCACCAGAAAATTGGCATGGCAAAGAAAAATCTCAAACAAATGTGGGATACATTCGGTTTGATAAAAATTTAAAAAAACCAGGAAAAATAGAAATCAATAATGAAATTATCAAATCGAAGACTTCGCGTGGAAAGACAGTTTTTAAGAGAACGGGGTGACCCTTTTGATGTACCAGAAGCAAAAATCATGTAGAGCTGTTTAGGTTTCGACCATAGATGACAGGAGAACTGGAATCCTGCACGAATGCTCGCGAAATTAGAATCGCAAATGATGACAAAAACGCCCGACTCGTATGGACTAGTAAAATTCTAATCCGGCTGCTGTACTCTTGGTCCATTACTGTTCTTGTTGTATAATAATGATATTGATTCGGTGATTCAAAATTGCTCTATACACTTGCTTGCGAATGATACATTGATCTATTATTTTTTTTCAAAAGACCTAGTTATCCTGATGCATGCAATAAATCTGAATCTTCAGCAAACTCGGTTAAGGTTCAATAATAATATGCTTAGAAAAACGAAATTTATTATTATTGCAGGTAACAGGATTCAGCATGAATACTATCAGTATGATTTGAAGATAGAAATAGGTACTGAGCGTGTAGAGGTGGTTCAGAAGATCAAGTATTTGGGGTTTATTATTGAAATTCTCTTAAATTTGAAGAGCATATCCTGTACATCATTGACAAAATATCAAGAAGTGTCAATTTTCTGTCCAGGAGTGTCCTCATCATTATCTAAGTGGACGAAAATTACAATATACAGGGTGTCTCGGATAAGGATGCACTCTACAGGGATCTTCGTAACCATAAGAGATACAGGGTTGGTTCAATTTGGAAAAAGTTGCGCGTTACTGATCTCAGTAGCGTTGTGTTTTGATATTTTGGAAATTCCGAAGATTTCTATAAAAAAACCAGAATTTGCTGAAATCGTTTTTTTTTTTTGACTATTTGAAATGATATCGCAAAATAAATGTCACCATTTTTTCTTCTCTACAAGATGCTACCATCAAATTTCAAACCTGTTGTTTCGTCTTTGGGCCATGATCATCGACTTTATTTTTTCAAATACAGCGCTTGTTTTTCTATTTCAGCGACTGTTTTCGAAATTTCCAGTAGTTTTGTTACACAAATAAAAATGATTTCAGCAAAATTCGGTTTTTTATAGATTAGGAATCATTCGGAATTTCCGAAATATCAAAACACGACGCCACTGAGCTCAGTAATGCACAACTTTTTCCAAATTTAACCAATCCTGTATCTCTTATGGTTACGGAGATCCCTGTAATGTAGAGTGCATCCTTTTCCGGGACACCCTGATCTTACCTCATTGTGTGTATTGTGCAACAATACTATTCACTGCCAACAAAAATGAGATTGCCTGCAAAAAATGCAAAATAGAGGTATGATATTGAAGAAAAGAAGGGACACACCTATAAGTTGACTTGCTGAAAGAGTTGGTTGGTACTATGATCTTTATCTAAAAAATAAAAAATGGAATTACACCTTACTATTTGCCAAATAAATTGATCACCATTGAGGACATTCACAACTATGCAACTAGAAATAGAGACAATTTTTATGTTGCAAAAAAGAATAAATCGCTTTCTGAGAAAGCAGTATACCATAAGGGGTTAATAATTTTCAATCTGTTGCCCAATGAGATAAAGAACTTGCCAACCATTGGATTGTTTGAGGGGTGACTTAAAGATTACTTGAGGGAAGAATGATGCAAATAAAAAGATATGTCATGTCATCTTATATTGTACGTCCCTAGTTCAAAATTGTTCAATTATCTTCACATTGTAAGGTGGTAGTATTAGTAGGTGAACTAATTATTATATCTTACATACCTATTGTATTGTTGTATTATTGTATCAAATTTTTTGTACCTATTGAATTAGATGGACTCTAAATAAAGCAATTATTATTATACTCCGAGATACTCTTTACCACAGTTTTGTATAACAAAACTACTGGAACTTTCAAAAACGCAGTCGCTCAATGCCCATGATGGAGATGCACTACAAAAATCAAAACGGAGCACTTTGACAATACAGCCAATACGATATGATACATTTTTTGTACTCTCCTTGGTTTGGTTTTCAAATGAGAATTCTGATTTTCATCCCTCTCTACCGTATTGAGTTCTCATAAGATCATACTGACATAGAAAATATAGATAAATAAATCTGATATTTCACTTACCCTGCTTGAATTTTCAACCAAACACAAAAACACCACATCCTCTCGCTGCAATCTGACTGCACTATGCAACGGCAGTTGAGTTTTACTTTTCAACATCTGATAAAGCAATGGACCGCTCATATGCTCAAAATCGGAAGAATTTAGATCATCCCAATGTGTTGATATTAAACCTAAATTTGAAAATATTTAAAAATGAACCCAATACAATCAAGTTATTTTTTACCTGAACAATATTCTCTCAAATTAACAGCATTTACTTCTTCGGCAACACTATAAAATTTGACGCAATTTCTTATATTTACAACTGATATGAGATATTGTTCACAAGTTTCCACTAAACTATCCAGCTTAAACTCATAAGCTTTTTTTATTAATTTCAGGGTAACTTTATCTGATATCAGCCTGACTTCGCTTTTATATAACCATAGCACAATTGCATCTGCTACTTCTGGATCCATATCCGTCCAATCTAATTCAGATTTATTGATGAGATAATCTTCATCCCATAGTTTAGATCTTGCAGTTAGGATTATTTTATGACCCGGCATTACTTTGTCTGTGATACAATAATTGATTTTTATTCAAAATTAGTACTAATTGAAGTATATCATTAATACTGACCTAAGAATTTGATTTTAATATCACTGTAATTGTCGGAATCATATAGATTCGAAATAGTATTAACCAATCTTGAAGCAAAACTGTTACTTATATCATTTTCAGTAGAATCACCGTTTGTAGCTGCAATATATGTATAACGACTCTCCAGGTCTCTGTATTTTGTTTGTAGCTTCGAGTACTCTTGCTTCAGAAGCGAAAGATGCTGTTGAAGTTTTACCACTTCAGAATTTGCTAAAAAAAAACGTGTTACGATGTATGTGATTGATAATAATTATTTGAATGGTATTTTTAGCTTTTTATATCAGTTTGGATAACGTCGGAAGTTGGTAATTGAAGAGATTGTCCTATTTATTTGGTAAAATCATATGTTTATTGAAGTAAAGCTTGTTCTTAAGCTTACCCTTACCCATTTTCCTGCCTAAAAGGGCAGATTTTTGGTGAACTGAAATTTAGTAAAAAATTTGCGAAAAAAAAAATTTGATGTATAAATAAACCGCCCAACAAAAATTTTATAAAGTAAACCATAATAGCGATTTCGATTTGTCAAAATTCAGCTGTTATGGGCTAGTTCCGTTATGTCTTTGATTGAGGTGGCCTTTTCACACCGAGATATCAGTGTCGGTTGCGAATTCGTACAAAATTTTATTCGTACGAATGAATGGTAGCATGCGTTTTTTCCAGTACCATCTATAACTTTGTATCTGCTAAATTTGCTCTAAGCAGATCAGTGTCTCCTTTTTCCAAAACAGAATAGCAGCGTTTGTTCTCACGGAAATGCTGCTTGGAGTGGATCTAGCAGGTACAAATGAAAACTGGTTAGTCTATAGTAGGACTAGGACCACGACTGTTCGGACAGAAATCACAAACCAGTCTGATCGAAAATTGGATCGAAATGATCGAATAAACAGTCATAAGCCGCTTTCCAGCTGACCATTTTGAGCACGCAATCGAACTTTTGCGCGCGCAAATGCTTCAAGCGCATGTTCGTGTTCCAGCCGTACTGCACTTCGAGAGCAGCTAACTTTTGCGTTTCAAACACAGAACACTTGCTGCACCGTGCTTGAAGCACACAGCTGGAAAGCGGCTACAAACAGAACAGTTTCAACCAATGAAATAGGGAACTTTACAATTTCTTTTTTATTTTTTTAAATCATTTATGCGCAAACAGCGATTCACTTACAATTTTGTATTTTACTGGTTCGATTTTTATATTTATAAGAGCCGGTTTATTAACCTTCTAAAAAAACTGTCAGGTATCTAATGCAATCTGACGGATAAAAACTCTATCTGCAATTCCATTACTCGGCTAGTGATTCGCCGATCAATAGATTATAGGTCGATACATTTATCTTGCAGATAAGTTAACAGCAAGTTTATGTCAAGATGAATAAATCGGGCCTGAATGTTAATAATGTTAATAATAATAAGTGATATTACCAAAGTTGATTATTGATTGCGATCCCTTAAAAAAATGTGAACCAAGTGTTAGTAAACAAGGAGGAGCTTCCTACTTAATTATTGAAGTGGTGACAGCTGATCTCTTTGGAAAGTAGATATTATAATAACTCGATAAACGTAGAAATCTCCATTATTTGTTTGTCTACGTTAAATCAACTCTTAAAGGGAAAAGAGTAGATATAGACGGTATAGTTAGAACCAACTAAGAAAAATCCCTGACGTCATCACTGACGAAGAAGGCAAATTTTCTAAAGACCCCCTCATTTGAAGTGAGACAAAAGATCACGCTTCATTCTTAGTTGGTTTCATCTATACCAACGAACATGGATGTTTTCAAGTTTGATAAGATAGATAGAGACATAGGTATTACAATGGTCAAAATCCATGTACAGAAGATTCACATTTGAATTAGGGGCGCCAAAGTCGGATCTCGCTCCATCCTGAAAATAGGCTCGGGCCGGCACTGTGAATGCTCTACTGCATTGGTGCCATTGGTGGATATTATTATTGCACTAATATGCAAGAATACAAAGGAAAAACTCTAATTTTAGCACTTTCCACCTTTTGTAAATAAATTTTAATAATTATTATTGAAGCTTTTTATTTTTTCAAAGACATTTTGTCCTACAAAACACGATCCAATTTTTTTATGTATACTAAGTAAAATAGATACTTTATTTATTTTCAATGGAAACTAATGGCACAGCATGCTTTGTGCCTATTATTTTATAACCCAATAATAAAAAACAAAACAAATACACAAGGTGAGAAAGAGGTTCTGTTGTCAATAGGCTTTTTTGGAAACGCTGAACAACCTACATCAGCTGCTGCTCCAACGGTTCGGGTTTTTCGAAAACGCCTAATTATGACATCACGAATTGACTGGTGACGCCATCTTCGAAAAAAAGCTTGAACTATATTTGCCAAAATATCTGTAATTTTATTCCAAAATCGGTTTTAGACTACAAAAAAAAAGGGTCACATCAGAATTTGCTGAAATTTGGCATAAGCATTCTTTGATCGATTATCTAGAGAATAGTGCTCTTATTTTTTCAATTTTTACCGTGGATTTTTCTATTTTTGGGAAATAGTTCATTTTCACAATATAGGCCAAAAAAAATTAGAAATGGAAAATCTAACTGCACTATTCTCTAGATAATCGATCAAGGAATGTTTATGCCAAATTTCAGCAAATTCTGATGTGCAGTTTTTTTTTGTAGTCTAAGGGCGGGTATTATAAAACTACTTTGAGAGTTAACTTGAAGTTAACTTCTGGAATTACATGTAATTCAAAAAGTTAACTTCAAGTTAACTTCTGGAATTACATGTAATTCAAAAAGTTAACTTCAAGTTAACTGTCAAAGCAGTTTTATAATACCCGCCCTAAAACCGATTTCTGTATTTTGTATCGTGTGCATGGGAGCGATGTTGCCCCCTTAATAGGTATATCGTTTTATTTATATGTATAATGCTAAGCTAATCATTGAATTTAAGCTAAGTAAACCAATTCTTATAATGATAAAATTTTAAAAAATCAGAGAAAAACGTAAATAAACACAGCTAACGGGTATTTATTATGTAGAGTTCGAGTAAACGCTCGGAGTTGCTGTTTTGTTCTTTTATCCCTGTTCTTCTCATCATAAGAAAAAAAGACGGAAAATGCTCCGAGCGCTCAGTGTTTCAAGACGAACTCACGGTATGATGGACGGCTGCTGACAGACACTGACAGATCATACTAGATGACGTCACGACCAGTACCAGAGCGTTTTTTCCCGCTGGAAATAATTTGAATTTTTCCGTATTTTCAATTCCTTATTGTAGCCGTTTGCGACAAAAAAAATTGTTTTTTTCGCTGATATAGGTTTTAATCAATGTATTCTTATGATTTATAGTAATATTTTCATGTTTAAATTTTTTGTCAAGTTCCCTATTCACTCTGACTGGTTTGTGATTCCTGTGGGAACTGGGAACAGACCTTATATACCTACTACAATCCAAGCCGGGTGCACTTTTTAAAGGTACGGTTTGTTAGGAGAGTACGCGTCGCACAACTGACAACGTAAACGTCGCCATTGGTCAGGTATGACCATAGGTATGACGTACACCCGTTTTCTCACGTCAAAAGACGGGTGTACGTCATACCTGAACCAATGACGACGTTTACGTTGTCAGTTGTGCGACGCGTACTCTCCTAACAAACCGTACCTTAACTTAACGTATTAGCTGTGGTATTAAGCTGGAGTTTCATGCATCCGTTTTTCCGACGAAAGATGTCCGAAAAACATTCTATTCTGACATAATCATATGAAAATATGTCAAAATAGAAGATTTTTCGGACATATTGTTGTAATCGTTTATTCCTATTCCTATTGGTCCAATATCTTGGCGCCAAAATATTGGACCAATAGGAATACTTCCGGATCAACGGATTGACGGAAAAACGGATGCATGAAAAATGAGATATTCGAACGCACTTCACTTACCAAAACTGTGGCAACATCGCAACTGATTCGCGAGTTCGGATTGGCAGCTCGGGCTATCACTTTTTTAACACTTTTCGCTCCTAATGGCCATATTCTCCGTATGTGAAGTAAGCGAAGTTTAGCGTTCAAGCCTGCATATTACGCTCAACTCACTTTTAAGCCAGGTTTAAGTTATGATTTCAAAATTATCGGCTTATATTGTTAGCCATACATCTGGAACATAATAGTAATAGTAATATTCTTTCATTTCTTTCGTTCTGAACGAAATGAACAAGTGAAACTGAATCAACTGAATCTGAACAGAGCAATCATTTTAGTTTCACTTTAGTTGTGTCCAGTTGTTACAAAAGAAGACGTTTAATACAACGTAACTTTCTTGGTTAATATCATTCAGGTAGGTTAATATTTATTTAATTCTTGTCATAAAGTCTTCATTATTCTTGAAAAAGCAATAACAAAAACCAAGGTTATTTGAGAGAGGTAGGTTGCCTGATAACTTTATGACGTCATGATGAAAATCTTCATAACGCACCCCAGACGCGTCATCAGGTTGCCCATTATCAGGCAACCTATGAACTTCAGGAACCTTGCACTAGGAGCCTTGAACAGAAAATATGGAAATAAAGGTGGCTATGACGTCGGAAATGGTGACACACAATATAGCGGCGATTACCAAAAACGAGGCCGTACCTCATTATGGTTTCGCGGTCCGAAAGTAATCAAATTACTCTGATTCCTGGAAAAGTGGGTACTTGTGGACCTCATCGGTTTCCTGAAATCTGGCGAAATGTCAAAATAGTTATCGGCTATCGGATGTTGGTTCGACTGGTTTTATCTGTCGTTTCTGTTATTTTTTTTTTTTTTTTAAATATAGATTATTTTTTTAAACAGTCACCGAAGTTCGCGTTCCCTTAAGAAACGGGAATTTTCAGTAACCACTTGTCAACCGATTTGGTTAACGTTTGGTTATATTTGGACCATAGCCTAAGCCGAGCCTAATATTTCAGCCTGGGTTCAATTTAACTAAATGCAGCTTAAGCACGAAACGGAGAATATGGCCATCATAAGTCGTTCGGGTACAGTTAGAGCAAATAGTGTTAACTCCGTTCGGGTGTGAGGCAGCGTTAGAAGAGTTAACTCTACCAACCGTACTTCAACTTCGAGAGATGGTGCTCGTGGTACAGGGTACGGGCATGAGCAATGCAAAAAAAATCTGATTTGATTGTTTTCTGGTTATGGTTGTGCAAGGATAATACACACAACTACTACAGGATCGCCTATCTTGATAAGGCCAGTGTAGAACAATTCTGCAGCCACTCCATGCAAAATCACCAGTTGTGACGTGAGCATGTCGTTTCTTACCTTGACGTAGGCTGTTTCTAAGGATAATACACACTATTAAGCATTGCTTATCGGCCGCCTTTTTGGTAATGACCGCCATATTGGTGTGTTAAGCCTAGTTGTCATGGAGCGGAAAATCGCGTTGTGAACGCGAAATTTTTTAAATTTCTCCCGCAGCAGGGAAATGGCAACTTTTTGCGATATCGCAAAAAAAAAAA